TTCCCCTCGACTTCTCCCTCTCTCTCCCTTGCTTCTGCCGTCTGTCCTTTCTCGTCACTCCGCGGGTCGCGGGGCCGAAGAGTCTCGGCGCCCGATGGGTCGTGGGGTCGCGATTGAGGATCTTCGACCCTAGAGGTAAGGGGCGTCCAGGGACCGAAGGATTCGGAGGACTCCAGGGGCCGACTTCAAGGGTCGCGGGGCCTGCGGTTCCCAGAGGTATCCGGACCGGGGGGGGCGCCCGGATCGGGGGGCGCCCGGACCAGGGAAGGGGGGGGAGGAGGAGGAGGAGGAGGAGGAGGAGGAGGAGGAGGAGGAGGAGGAGGAGGAGGAGGAGGAGGAGGGAGGGCGGAGAAAAGGAGGCGAGGGAAGAGGAGGAGGAAGGAGGAGGAGGAGAAGAACGTGTAGGAGCGGGGGGGGGGGCAGAAGCAAATGAGGAAAGAGGAGGAGGTGGTGGAGGAGAAGGAAGGGAGCTAAGGAAACGGAGGAAAGAGACAGGCGAGGAAGGGGAGGAGGAAGAGGACGAAGGAGGAGGAAGAAGAGAAGAAGGAGAAGGAGGAAGAGGAGGGGGAGGAGGAGAAGGACGGGCAGATATATGCATATATACACATAAGAAAAGGCCTGCTTTGATACTTCTGCCTGGGCCTTGCCGTGATCTCGGCTAGAGCCAAAGCGCGCGCGAAGCGCGCGCGATGGTTCTAGCGTGTGTATACATATATATATATATATATATATATATATATATATGTGTGTGTGTGTGCATGGCTGCCTATGCCGATGTATATATATATATATGTATATGTATATGTATATGTATATATATATATACATACATATATATATATGTACATGTATGCTCACTGTTCCGAAGGCCCTTCCAGGTTCGGCGCCTGGATAGTGGCCCCCCTCTCTCCTCGGTTGAGCCCCCTTCGCCGCCCTCCACGCACGCCCCGCCCCCTCCTCTCCCATCTGCTGCGCCGGGGCAGCGACTGAGCGGGAATTATCAAGATTGCGACCTTGATTCGCACCTCGAGCTCTCGGGGGATAAGGTGCCTCTGGAGGGCCAAGGAGGTCTGCGTTCCCCCCCGCGGCGCGGTTTCTCTCTAGGCCAGAGGGGCCTCCCCGCAGAGCCGATGGCAGGCGCCTCTCGCTTGTCTTGTCTTGCCTTGCCCTGTCTTGTCTTGTCTTGCCCCCCACCCGCCCCGCCGCGGCCGCCCGGATTGCGCAATGATATTTGCGAGGTAGCTGGCCAGGATAGCTCATGTGGACCTCGAGCCCGCAGTGGCCCCTTCCGGAATGTTGCGGGCAGGGCCCGTGGATTCGCGCGCCGTTCCCCTCGCGCGGTTGCCGTTTCGCCGTGACGGGGCGGCGGCAGAAGAGGCGACGACAGTTTCTTCCTCGGCGCCGTGCCTCAAAAGAAGGACAAGCGAGATGGCAAGGCCATGAAGCCTGCGAAGTCAGAGCGCGCGCCTGACCGTCGGCGCGAGTCTGCAGCGCTGGGCGCAGAGTCCATTGGCGCCAGCCCACCGCCCGCGCCGCGCATTCCTGTTCAGGGTCGGTCTGGGCGTCGCCGTGCTCGTCGGGGTAGAGATGGGGTCACGGGCGGGCGACGACTGCCTGGGGCGCGTCGACAGGTTGCGAGCTGCTGCTGCAGCGCTGGGCAGTCCAGGCGAGCGCGCCTGCGCCGACGACGCGGGGCGGGGTGGGGCGGGGTGGGGTGGGGGGCGATGGTGTGGGGGCCGAGGGGGCGCGCTGGCCCAGCGCCGGCTGTTCGACTTGCATCGCTGCTTGCGGACTCAACGCTGAGGGTGGCCAGGTGTCTTGCTTTTCCTTTCGGGGCTCCGATGTCGGATCCCTGCGCCGCCCGAGCGGCGCGCCTGGCCCTGCGCGGGGCTGGGTCGGCTCGGGGCGAGTTTCATTTTCAGTGCCTGGGAGTCCGTCTTGGGCCGAATTTAGGGGAACAAAAAATTATCCCAGTGCGACCCTACCTAGGAGTTGGAGCATTCAGGAAAGCAACAGCTAAGCTAAGCTAAGCTAAGCTAAGATGGGGTAAGCTAAGCTAAGCTAAGCTAAGCTAAGCTAAGCTAAGCTAAGCGAAGCGAAGCGAAGCTAAGCTAAGCTAAGCGAAGCGAAGCGAAGCGAAGCTAAGCTAAGCTAAGCTAAGCTGGGCTAGGCAAAGCTAAGCTAAGCTAAGCTGAGCTGAGCTAAGCTAAGCTAAGCTAGGCTAGGCTAGGCAAAGCTAAGCTAAGCTAAGCTAAGCTAAGCTAAGCTAAGCTAAGCTAAGCTAAGCTAAGCTAAGCTAAGCTAAGCTAAGCTAAGCTAAGCTAAGCTAAGCTAAGCTTAGCTAAGCTAAGCTAAAGCTAAGCGAAGCTAAGCTCAGGGTAAGTTAAGCTAAGCTAAGCTGGGCTAGGCAAAGCTAAGCTAAGCTAAGCTGAGCTGAGCTAAGCTAAGCTAAGCTAGGCTAGGCGAGGCTAGGCAAAGCTAAGCTAAGCTAAGCTAAGCTAAGCTAAGCTAAGCTAAGCTAAGCTAAGCTAAGCTAAGCCAAAGCTAAGCTAAAGCTAAGCTAAAGCTAAGCTAAAGCTAAGCTAAAGCTAAGCTACAGCTAAGCTACAGTTAAGCTAAGCTAAGCTGGGCTAGGCAAAGCTAAGCTAAGCTAAGCTGAGCTGAGCTAAGCTAAGCTAAGCTAGGCTAGGCTAGGCTAGGCAAAGCTAAGCTAAGCTAAGCTAAGCTAAGCTAAGCTAAGCTAAGCTAAGCTAAGCTAAGCTAAGCTAAGCTAAGCTAAGCTAAGCTAGCTAGCTAAGCTTAAAGCTAAGCGAAGCTTAAGCTCAGGGTAAGTGCTAAGCTAAGCTGGCTGGCAAAAGCTAAGCTAAGCTAAGCTGAGCTGAGCTAAGCTAAGCTAAGCTAGGCTAGGCTAGGCTAGGCAAAGCTAAGCTAAGCTAAGCTAAGCTAAGCTAAGCTAAGCTAAGCTAAGCTAAGCTAAGCTAAGCTAAGCTAAGCTAAGCTAAGCTAAGCTAAGCTAAGCTAAGCTAAGCTAAGCTAAGCTAAGCTAAGCTAAAGCTAAGCGAAGCTAAGCTCAGGGTAAGTTAAGCTAAGCTAAGCTCGGGGAACCCAGGGGGCGCAACTGGGGGAACCAGGGGGGCGCAACCGGGGGAACCGCCCGGGGTGGGTAGCATTGCCCGCCCCCTTTAGCAAAGAAAGTAAGAACCCTTCTAGGCAGAGCCTAGGTAGGGAATGACATGAACATAAAAACTCTGAGGTCCGCGCGGATTTCTCGGATCGGCGCTGGGGCCCCCCGGCGGCGCCTCCGGCGCCGCCACTGGCGCGCTCCGCGCGCCAGGCAGGGGGGGGTCCAGCGCCGATCCGACAAATCCGCGCAGACCACAGAAGTTTTATGTTTATGTTATTTGTTGTTCCCCTATGGTCCTGTATGTGGCTGAGTCGGCTCGGGGCGAATTTCATCTTCAGTACTTTGGGGGTCAGTCTCGGGCCGAACTGCACCCTGCGAGAGCATGCGACGCCCCCCGTGGCCGGGCTTAAGCGGAGCACCCCGTGCTGGTGGCAGGGGCCGGGGCGCCCTCGTCGCGGGCCTCTGCTCGCTGTCTTGAGAGAGTGCTGCCCGTCGTGAGCCGCGCGGCTCAGCTGTTTCAGCTCCCGCGGCAGCGTGCGATGTCAGGGCGTCATGTTTGTTGCCCGTCTCTGACGTCCACCGAGCAGTTGCATCGCTCGCGGCGGTTG